TCGGCCTGACACCGTCTGATCCATCAACTTGCCTGAGAAACTAGGACTGGTTTCGCATCCCGCATTAAAAACTTGTGGATGGTTTTTGCTACCAATTACCGAACCTTCTTGATGCTACGGAACTTAAAATAGTTCGGCAGTTCACGCACCGAACATTTTTCGTTTTTCTGAACTGAAAATCGTTCAGTCGAAGTATAGGGAACCTTATAGGTTCGGTAAAACTCCTTCTTTTTTTGAGTGAATACTACGATGCATAATATTCTCTTTATCAACTTCACCTTTTCCTTTTTGTGAACCTAAGATGGCACAATAAAGTGAATATTAAAAAAAAAACAAAAGCAAATAAATGATATAAACAACAATTATACATTTATAAAGTTATTCTGCGAATATTCGAACTATTCCTTTGCGTTTCCATTTTCTAATTAATTTGTATAATAAAGCAATAAAAATCGGAATAATTAATTTGAGAAAAGTTGTTAATCCTCCATAAAGACCTAATAATGCCGTAATAACAAAGAGTGCATTATTTCGTTTAATAACTGTTACGGTACATGAAAGCGGTTGACATTGTGTAAAGAATTGATAATATGATACATTCGAGGAACATTTCTCAATAAACATTTCTTGAACAATTGAATCAATAGTATTATTTAAAGAAAAGTGTGTTTCATTAAGATTTAATGGCTGAAGTATTGGTAAAGTTAAATTTAAATACGAAAATAAAAAATTAATACATGATTGGTCATATAAACATGCAATTGAACTTTGAAGTAATGCTTCAAGTGGAGTACATCCAACAAGATATCCTTTTAGAAATGGTATTGATGATTGTGTACAAGTTGATGATGTTAAACAATTACAATTATTATAATATTGTGGTTTCATATAAATTGTTGATAAAGGATTGCTATTATTAACAATTGGATACCAATTTGTTGAATAAAGTGATACAAATGCATTACTTTGTGTTATACCACGAATTAATTGAAGATTATTTAAATAATTATTGGATAATGTTGATTTAAATTGACCTAATGATGCATTGATTTGTTTATCAAATAAATTATAATGAATTAATGAATCAGATATTAATGATGAACTGAAATAAGTGTTCCATGCATCATTAACAGCATCTTGTGCAAGATTACATAGAGATAAAAGTGCTTGAAAATGTGAAAATATTGTACCTTGAAGTGTATAGGCATGTTTTGGTGCATATTGTCTATCTAATGAATTATAAATTAAAAAGAGTTCTTGCAAATATATTGGAGATATGAATTGACTTGTACAAATCGGATGAAAACTACATTGATACTCAATAAATGATGAATAAGAAGTAGATAATTGTGTACATGGACAATTAATCGAGTCAATACTATATTCTTCTATTAGATTTTCATATTGTTCAAAAGATGGATTTTTTATTGTAAATGATTTTGTCGACCTAATTAATGAATTATAAAGTATAAGAACAGATAATGAAATTAAAAGGATAATAATATAAATATATGTTGCTTGTTGTTGTTGTTCTTTGAGATTAATTCTAGTTGATTTATCGAATAGATTTAATTTTGAAAGCCATTGATTAATTCGATTTGAAACTATAAAAAGATTATTTCAATGAACCTTTCGTGATTTATTATACGAAACACAATGAAATCCTACAATGTACATATCGTTTCTCTGATTTTACATGGATATGATAAGGATAGATTAGAGTTATCTGTCACGGGCAAGAGAGACCGATACTTCATAGTTTAAATACTTCAACATTCTCTTTCATATTGTGTTTATAAAGAATAGAAAAACGAAACTTTATTTACTTGATTCATTATTAGCAGTATGTAGTTGACATAATCGTCGATTTATAAATAAAAAAGAAATTAGAATACTTATAGATATTGCAAGACCACCAATAAGACCAATAATTGTTGTTATAGCTTCAAGTAAATTCTTTCGTCGTAAAACTGTATATGAACATGCTTGTGGTTGACATTGATTAAAATAAGATGAATAATTAATAATTTCAATCCATTGTTCAATAAAAAGTTCAGAAAGCAGAATATTTACTGATGTATTTGTTGTAAATCGACTAGATAAAGATGAATTAAGTCGAGCAGTAGGTTGATACCATGTTTGATTATAAAAATTAATTATATATGTAAAACAATCTTGATTATCATAAAAACATTCAAATGTTGAATGTAATAATGATTCAATAGGAAAACAAGCTTTATACCAACCAGGTACTAAATATTTTGGAGTTGTGAAATATACTGGATTATATAAACCAGTATTTGTTTTACAATTAATATCATTTGCACATGAGCATGTATATGAAGAATTGATATCAGTATAACCACCAATACTAAATGTAACGGATGTAAGTGGTGAACCAATTAAAGTATATTGAGCATTATTTAGATAAGAAAAGATTTGATTAACATAAGTTATATTACGAAAAAGCTGAAAAAATCCTAAAAATCGATTTGCTAATTGTGATTGAAATTGTTTTATTATTGAATTGATTTGATAATTAAAAATATTCATCGAAAGAAGATTATTTGTTACAAGTTGAGTTTGTTTAAATGTTTCAAGTGATTGAAAAATTGTTTTATTTGTTAATGTACATAATTTATTCATAAAGAAAAATAATTGATATGTATAACGAAAATCAGGTTTAGCACGAAATGAACCAATTGCATAAATTTGAATTAAAGCACGTAGATTATCACGAAATGATATTGACATCAATTCACTTGAACAAATTTGATGATAAAATGGTTGAAGATCTATAAACTCTTCATAAGGAATATTAATTTTTGTACATGGACATTGAAGAGAAGAATTAAATTCATTTTGTGATTTTAAATAAAGGACAGTTTCATATGTTGGATTATTTATTTGAATTGTTTTTGATTGAACAATTAATAATGTATATATTGTAAGAATCATCGAACCGATAATAAGACATAAAATATAAATTCGTGTTGTCCAACGTTGTTCTTTAATATCAGATAATTCTTGTCTAGTTGAAGATGGAAATAAATTAAATTTAACAAGTAAATGCCATATATGATTATGAAAAATCCGTAGGTATCTCCAACATGAAAGTTCTGTTTCTATTCAAGAAAATGACTGATTATTTAAAAAGAAAATCTAATTTTAAACTTACCAGCATGATCAGATGTTGTATTAATTTTACGTGAGAAACGTTTAATTAAGAAAGTAACAAAATATGGAGTAATAAATCGAAGTGCAACTGATAAACCTCCATAAAGAGCTAAGAGTGAAGTAAATATATATAATATACTTGAACTTTGTTGTATTGAATAAAAACATGAACGTGGTTGACACTGAGCAAAATAAAGAGAATAATCAATTTTAGTTAATAAATCTTCAAGAAATAAATTTTCAAGAAGAGTATTAAAAGTTTGACTACTTCCATTCATTTGTTTTGATGTATTTAAATTGAGAATAGTTGGTAATGTTAAATTAGATGACCATTTAGAATATTTAGCAATTAAATTAAGAGCTGTCTGATTGGATAAAAAACTATTTTCTAATGATGAAAGAAGAAGTGATCCTAATGCCCAACATCCTACAAACCAGTTTTTCATTAGAAATGACACATTTGTTGTACCTTCTATATAATAAATAACTGCTCTCGTATCAATCAAAGTGTCACCATAAAAGCCAGCTGGTACAGAACATACATCACTATTATCACAAGTACAACTTCCTATTGTACGATAATTAGTAGCTGCATAGGTTAGACCAGGTACACCATTTTGTGGATAATTTGCTATTATACCTGTTGTTTCAATACCCGATGCCATAATATTTCCAATCATAAATGCACGAATTAATAAAATTGGTTGTTGAAATGCTGTAGCAGTATTGTCTTTAAATGTACTAATAATCGATTCTATATAAATAATTAATAACTTTTCTCTTGATAGAGAAGATGAAATAAATTTTCTCTCATAAAACGATTGGATATTATTGATAAAAACATTTTTTGAACGATCACATAATTCTTTTAATACCTGAAATTGTAAACTTGCTGAAGAACGAAAATCTCCTACATAACGTGTAGCTGTTGTATTATCGACAAGTAATTCAATCCAACTTTGTGAAATAAAATCACTAAAACAAATTTCATGAAAAATTGGATTTAATTTTACAAATGAACCATATGCAACAGATATTTGAGAACAAGGGCATTTTATATCATTATACATCTTTTCTAATTGTAAATAAGATCCAAAAGAAGGACTTTGTACTTCTATTAATTGTGTTGTTTGATGTAATATATTATAAATTAATAGAATTGACATTGAGATAAGAAAAAAAAATATGTAAACACGTGTAGACCATCGTTGACTATAGATCGTTTGTCGGTCAATCGATTCGGTTTTGAATAGATTATATTCAATGAAAAGATTAATTAATCGGCGAAAGAAACTATCATTCTGTTGCTGTTGTTGTTGTTCTTCTTCTTCTTGTTCTATAGTAGACATATTTATATCTAAATTATAAATTGAAAACTTTTAAACTTAAAGCCAAGTTGTCAGTATATAGATGTGAAAATTTTCCTGTAGTTAATTATAAGTTTAAAAGTTAAAAGAAAGTGTAATACTCGAATCGAGTTAACGATTTCTACATTACTCTAAACATTGCTTGATTTTACTGGGATATTTATACTGATAGAAAAGTATGATTTTTCTTCTGTTGAAACAACAGCTGAAAAGCGTCTTCTGTTTCAGAGACCGGCGGTATCGCAAAAAATTCGTACCGTCTCGTACCGTGTACCGTCTTACTAAGCTTCATACCGTACCGTACCGTCTCACGTGAAAATTGTTCAATACCGTNTTTCTATATATAAAAATATACGATAGGTGTTCCGAAAAAATGCTCGGAAACTCGGAATTTTTGATAGAAAACACATAATTTTTTTTTCATCAAAAGTGTTTTCTAAAGCATACCGGCATTTTGAAGTGAAAAAAAATCGAAAAAAAAAACCTTTCCAAAAAAGTGGCTGGATCTCCATGGATTCACTCAGATATAGAAGAATAACGGTGTTACTTTATAAAAAAAAAGTACAAATGTATTTTGTAAATAAGGGTTTTTAAAAATAGAATAACGTTCGAGATCCTATAAAACTGTTGTATAGATATGTATAATAATATATAAATGATTGATTTTCCTTTTATATTGTATAGATACATCATCGATTACCGACAAACAACATCAATCTGCACTGACAACTACAAGTCAAATGTATTTCCGACAATGCAACCACAAAAAATTTTATTATGAAACTTTGGAGATCTTTGTGTCAGATACCTGTTATTACACTATACTAAGTAGTAGCAACGATAATACTGATTTATATGGTTATCTCTATGAAAATCATTTCAATCCACTTGCTCTACGCAAAAATTTACTTGCAGAAAATAATGATAGGAGTGAAATCAATCGGCAATTTAAACTTGAAGTTCCTCTTTATGTCAACATTACATATATATTAGTAATCACAACATATTCTCCTAAAGATATTGGTGAATTTAAACTTAATTTCATTGGATGGAAAAATATCAATATCAAACGTCAGAGTGAGTAAATATATTTGTAGTTGATTCGATGAGACTTTCTTTGATTAATTAAAATAGCATTACCACTCAATAATTATGTAAATTATTCATCAGAATTCACTTCTACTAGTGCAATGTATTATCGAGATTGTCAAATACCAAAATGTTACTATGAAACATTAGAAATCAATGTAATTACAACGGGTATTTATGTTATATCGAGTGAGAGTGATATGCATATGTATGGTTATATTTACAAACATGATTTTGATCCATTGAAGACATCAAAAAATTTATACTTAGAACATAACGGCACATGTAATGATTATCAATTGAAATTTATTACTAATCTTAATAATTATACAAAATATATTTTGGTTATAACAACATTCTCTCCATATACTATGGGAAAATATTCGATATTTATATCCGGTCCAAATAATGTTAGTCTTACTCATTTCCGTGAGTATCTCTTCGTATAGTTTCTTCATTAATATAGCTGTATTTTAAACTTGTGTTTGAACTTTTAGATCCAAAATTTCGTAATTGTATTGTTGGTGATCAATGTAACTTTTATGTGAAAAGTATTGGTTTGACATTAGATGATATTTTACATGATGAACTTCGTTCAAATAAGCCTTTAAGTACTCAACCAATCTCGATTAAATTAAGTGCAACTCTAACAATCATTATGTTTGTTGCAGGATTGATCAATAGTGTTTTATCATTTTTGACATTTAAAAGTAAAGATGCACAACAAGTTGGATGTGGATTATATCTTCTGGCATCATCAATTACTTCTCTCTTAACGATAATTATGTTCATAATCAAGTTTTGGTTTCTTGTCATTACTCGAAGGAATGTTTCAATTATTAATCCAGCTGTTTTTCAAGGAGGTTGTAAATCTATTGAAACTCTTCTTAAACTTTTTCTTTATTTCGATAATTGGCTTAATGCTTGTGTTGCTGTTGAACGAGCATTTCACGTTTACATAGGAATCAATGTTGATAAGAAGAAAAGTAGACGTATTGCTCGATGGATTATTCTTATTTTACCATTCTGCATTTTGGGTACTCTTGTTCATGAACCAATCTTTCGTAAATCATTTCAATATCCACTGGAAATAAATAAAAATAAATCAAATCAAACATATACAAATATAACTAATGAAGTAACAACTGATCAACCTGTACAATGTATAACTGAATATCCTCGTTCTATTCAAAATTATAATACGATTATTCTATTTTTTCATCTTGTTGTTCCATTTATTGCTAATCTTTTTTCAGCTCTTTTTATTATCTTCGGTGCTGCTCGACAACGATCAAAAATTCACAAAAGTCGAAAATATAAAGATCTTGTTCGTGAACAATTCCATGAACATAAACAATTAATTATTAGTCCCATTATTTTACTTATTTTATCATCACCACGTTTAATCATTGCATTACTTCCTGGATGTATTAAAATAACACAACATTTATGGATATATTTATTAGCTTATTTTATTTCATTTATTCCATCAGTATTGATTTTTATGATATTTGTTTATCCTTCAGAAATGTATATGAAGGCATTCAAACAATCATTAACTATCAATTGTTGGCAAACACGTCGAAAATAAAATATTCATTTTGCTTATGCTATTTCATTGTATTTGGAGAAATTGACATTCTATAACTATTATATCGATTATTATCGAACTTAACTTTCTTATTATTTGCTTGTTGCTTGTTCTCATTTTATTTCTAATCATAAATAAAACCAGATGATATTAAAAAGACCTGGGTATAGGCTTAATTCAACAGATTCACTTTTATCTCAACAGTAGTGTCAAACTCGAAAGTTGAATTCAGTTATTCAGCTACTGTATTTGAATACCTGAAATTCCGGTATGCACTTCCAAATGCACTCCAACACGCGCGATAACCTAATCGCTACCTTACAAGACAACACCCTTTGTGGTACCGTCGGCTAATATTTTTGTAAATGATTAACTGAATTCAGCTTTCGAGTGTTACACGTGTGAAGGACCATTTCTCTGGTAAAAACATAGTTTTATTTCTAAGGGTTGAGCAAAGGGCAATCGAAGTCGACGAACACCAATTGGATGTTATTTTTCGCTAATAGTATGCATGGATTCTATGAGAGAAAGCTAATGGAGTTCTTAGACGGGTGTTGCTTTTTATATATCAGGAATAATTAAAGTCGACAAGAAAAACTAACTTGTGATTTGGCTTATACAATAATTTGTTTGCAATAGTGAGCGTATCCTAGAATGACTTTGCTCTGTCGCCTATGGACACAGCAACGAAGAAAGAGAAACTCATAGCTTTACTGAAAAATCAAATTTCAACAACAACATCAACCGAAGTAATTTACAAAGATATAAATCAACGCAATTCGTCACTATCTTTAGATAAAGCATTAAGATTATTAGGGCGATTTATTGATGAAAAGAAAGTCCACGGAGTCAGATTAGTAGTTTATTATTGTTGTTGAACACTTTGGGAAGATCGAGAGTATTATCTATCAATTGTTCGTTATATCTTTGCAAACAAGTATACCATATGATTTAACCACACATATTTTATTACAATAATAATGTGAATAATAAATCGACATTGAAATTTCACTCTACGTCAATATAGTTTCTATCTTTTCCAACATAGATGAAATATGATACTATATAAATCATCAATATTTTTTGGAAAAGATTTTCCATTACTTGAGAAATGTCAGTTTCATTTTCTATTGAATTTATTACCTAATTTAAATCGATTAGAAATCAAATTTCTTCCATTACTTCATTTCAAACTCAAATATTTATACATTAATCTCCATGATTCAATTGATAATCTCGAGAAAATCTCCTTCCATTGACACCTAATCTTATTCGATTAAAACTCTATGGATGAATTACAACACAAATAACAAGTGATATTTTCGAAAAAATTGCCAAATCTTTTCAAACATTTGTATCTCAATTTCAATATTTTAATTGCGAACTTTTCTGTCAATCATAGTCAAGTATATGAATGTTCAATCATCATATTTATTGAACTATAAGTTTCATATATCAAATTTACTATAGAGGTTATTCAATCACTCTACTATAAATTGTTAGAAGAATTCCACTATAGACCGATATAATTAGACATTATATGTTGTGTTAACCAGAGACCGGCGGTATCGCAAAAAATTCGTACCGTCTCGTACCGTGTACCGTCTTACTAAGCTTCATACCGTACCGTACCGTCTCGCGTGAAAATTGTTCAATACCGTACCGTACCGTTACCGCGAGGATCTGATGTATACCGTACCGCGAAATACCGTACCGCCAGAAAAAATTCTCTTACTCGTTTTCAAATGTGCTATAATCCGTTTTATTTCACATGTAACTGTATTACGTTACGTTTTCGAGGAGCATTGACAACAGTTAGGAAAAAAAGCTATCACATCGGTATAAACAATTTCATGTATGGAAAAAGAATATTTGAATAGACATAAGTGCCATCTGTCATCATTGAAATGAATAACAAGATCGTAGAAAAAGAACATTGTTTAGCTGGTCAGGTTTCATATTTGTTCGACGTTTTGCGATAATATTTCCAGCTGCACTGAACGATCTTTCGACACACGCAGACGCTGCTGGTACACAAAATATTTGACGAGCTACTTTAGCTAATACTGGAAATTCCATTCTATGATCCTTCCAAAACTGAAGTGGATTATCGGGTAGATTTGTCACATCAAGACGTTTACATAGATAACGTTCTAACTCATCATCGTCCGTATCATACTCATCACTAACATTACCCGTTTCATATTCTTCACCAAAATATTTCGGTTTTTTCGAGCATGGTTCGCCATCATGATTTGTTGATGAGTGTGACGAAATAGACGACGTAGATCGTTCTTGTTCGAGGACTTGTTTCATTATCTGACGAATAAACGATTTACAAGTATTTTTATCATAACTAGTAGCCTTTTTCAAATGTCGGTATTTTGGGTGAAGCATGTTTGAAGCATAATGAATAGGTTCAAGTGAGAACATTTCTTCAATTAAATGTAACAAGCGAAGACGAAAGAATCGAAGACCTATAAGATGAAAGAACTTAACGTCATTTTACTTCACTATGAAACATTTTATGTATGTATGACAAAATCTTTCTCAATTCTCACATCTTGATCAAGAATCAGTTCAATGAAACAAACTAAATTACCATCGTCTTCGTGAATTAATTTCGAGGAATCCGAATCCAATGAATCTAATTGTTTTTCTTGAAAACGTGTTTTGTTTTTCTTCTCATATTCCAAAAGATCATCAAATGAAGAAAGAGTTGTACGAAGAGTGCCAATGCCGATAAGAACAAAATGAATAGAAGGCACTTTTGAGGTTTGAAATTTAATGAGTAACTCTTTGAATGGTAATAGAAGTCGAATCAGACCTTGTACAACTTCACGCTCAATTGCAAAAGTTTTTCTCTTGTCCACTAAAACTCTTCTAATTGCAGAAAATGACCGATCAATAGATTCGAGTAGACTAATAAAAGAAAGCCAACGAACATTAATCGATTGTTTAAGGCTCACACCACCATGATCTTTTATAGCTTGATTCAGTCCAGACTAAAACAAAAGTAATACTTCTTTGTAAAATCAATTATGTTGAATGGAAGTTGTTCTTATAGATCGGTATCTTTCGTCCTTTTATTATTGCCCGGGATATTCGCCTTCTAAACGTCTTCCACGAATACGTTATGAAGAAAAGGTTTCACATTCACATATATCACCTAAGTGATATTCGTTTATTGGTGCGTATAGATCGAAACTTACTTTTTTCACGTATGTGACCAATTTCTTGCATTCGATTATGTTCTGAAGAACGTGTAGAGCTTTTCTTGGAATGTCAGTCAATGTAGTTACATCGATAAGATCTTCAATGTCTTCTTCAAGTTCAGTATTAGCACCATCAAAAACGTTTTCCATAACATCTTCTTGATTTTTGTTTTTTTCTTGAACGAAAAAACACTTTTTCACTATATTATTCAATCGGTGAGCGGCACACGAATAAGCTTGAAAACGTTTCAATGCTTTAAGGAAGTTAGCACCTCGATCAGAAACAAACGTTACATCAGCAAGATCGACAATTTCGAATCGGCTCAGTGCCTTTTCCAATTCCTATTTACAAATATATAAAACTTTTTACAATAATATACCATAAACTCACAATAATAATATTTTCAGCTGTTTTCTTCACATTGGGAAATGGGTGGCAACATAAATCAATGTTATGTAATTGATGATCATCATCAACAAACGAAGCTGAAATACCTAAGTAGGAACACTGTTGATTGTTGTCAGTCCATAGGTCTGGACATAAGCAAAGGGAACGATTTTTAATTGCTGAAGATAACAACTTCTTCAGTCGTGCACGTTCCACATCAGCTAATTCATGTATATGTGAAGAGATTGTTCCAGATGAACGAAGAATTTCATTAACATTAATATTTCCATATTGAGCGCCTATAATTGAGAAAAAACTCAAGATTTTGTTGAATATATACGCGAAAGATATTTATGTTTTCACTCATCTGAGCTTCATTGGTTTTTAACCTTTTAGTTGAGAAAGAATTACTAATGTTACTTATCTCTATACACTTTGTATAGTTCACCATTTCTTATAAATGATGTACATTGTACAGATTTCAATATTCAAAATACTCCAAAACTACTTCAGAGAAAAACCAAAACAATCAAACAAAACATTCATTACCGATAGATACACAACGTTGTGCAATATTCCGAAAACCATCATCATCAACAATAGCAAAAGGACGCATGTCCTTGCATATCCATCGAACAACTAGATCTTTCATATCTTTCGAATAAGAATCGGGTAAACGAACAGTTTTCGGTTGACTATAATTGGTAATTAAACTTTGAGAAGATGATGTGTCACGAGACGATGACCAAGTGGATTTGGTTTTTTGATCAGAAGATAAACAACTATGCTTGTTGAGAAAAGTTGTGCTGTTCGAGGCATACGAATAAGTAGCGAAACATTTTTTGCATGAAACGAAGTTTGGAATCTTTTTAGGAACACCATTGCTATCAAGTACAGCTGGAAAACCAAATGAACGCCAGCATATAGCCGAGTTTTTGCTATTTAAATTGTCGAGAATCACATATTGAGCTTTATCAAACTTCAAATGGCGCTGAATCTTTTCACGAGTATAATTTTCATTCGACGACGATGCAGATGAAGAAACACGAAGATCAACGGACGACAATGGTGACGACGCTGATGAAGTTGATGCTTGTGTTAATGATGAAGATGGTTCGGGAATGTGTTGATCGAATTGATCAGAATTCATTTTCTTTTCAATTCACTTTAAACTGCACAAAGATAATGATAAATTCAAAGGAGGAGAATCGAAGATCGAGGCTTTTTCGAGTTGTTGAAACTTCACACGAATAGAAATGTCCAATAGATGTCAGTGAAAGTCATGAAAAAACAACTTTTCAAGATGATACGGGACTGCGGTATAGCGATCTCATACCGCATACCGTACCGTACCGTGGCTTATCCATACCTTACCGTACCGTACCGCTCTACTTCTTTTTTTTTCAATACCGTACCGTACCGGGACGGTACGGTACGGTACGGTACTGATACCGCATACCGCCGGTCTCTGTTCGACAGATAGTTCTTGTTAGAAAGGTCGTCAGTATTTACTAACGAAATAGCATAGATCACCTAACATCGTGCTGGAAAAAACCATTTTCGCAAACACTGGAAAAGACTATTGCGACAATACTCGATACTCACCACCATGTTGAGAATGTAAGATATGAGCGAATATACCAGTAATTGGATAATTCGTATGTCACCTTAATGTTGCTTTTTGTTTAAAACTTCCCAGAATAAAGTATACGAGATAGCGCAACTACAAGACTATGTGCTTGCTCTATGTACTCTCGTATTTATACTTTGCTACATATGTACCTAGTACCGATAATGAGGCTGTGTCGTTACCGCGATGTATAGGACGTTGTACAGCTCGATCATGATTTGCCCATGTTTTTTTTTCACTGACAACTGGAAACAGAGAAGGAGGTATACTAATCTACACAAAAAATTCTGCGACGCTGTTGATGTCTTCTGCGGCGGACCCTCTCTTAGAACTAAATATCCTAAACTTCACGTCTAATGCGACTAACAAGACTAAAACTTTCACAAAGAAACAGTTACAGCAACGCTCCAGTGGACGCAAAACATCAGCTCAAAAGTCAATGCCCCATTTTTTCGGACCCCTGAGGGAATCACGGACTTTTCCTATATATGTGTCATCGGTATGAAGCTAGCACCATTTAAGACTTCCACCGATTGGCTACAGAACACACCAATCAAATCACACCGATACCAAAAACACCATAATGGTGGTCATAGATTCGACTATGGATTCCCTAGCAACCCAACCAACTTCCTTCACGAATCAAACATAGTACCATGCAACCTTCTCACTCTAACCACATACTATCTGATTACCAGTTCCTAAAATAACGATCGAAATTATTCAAGATCACAATAACAATATGGATCATTTGCAGTAGTTCCGACCGACCGGAAAACATTCTGGAGAGCGGCGTTCCTTCTTTCACCACGTCGGCCGATCCATGTCCGACCCAATATCCGGCCTATTTTTTTCGGCGAAACACTTTCCAGTGGCTCGAATCTGTTCCATTCGATGCAGAATCAAATTCTGATTCGAATGCAGTTGTTCCGAAGGACCGGAAAACGTTCTGAAGGGCGGCGTGCTCTCTTTCATCACATGGACCAACCCGTATTGGACCCAATATCCGGCCAACTTTATTGTCCACGAAACGTTTTCCGGCAGTTTGAATGCGTTCGATTCGATACAGAATCAAATTGTGAACGAAATGCAGCTGTTCCGATGCACCGGAAAACGTTCTGAAGAGCGGCGTGCTCTCTTTCGTCACATGGACCAACCGGTCATGCACCCAATATCCGGCCAACTTTATTGTCCACGAAACGTTTTCCGGCAGTTTGAATGCGTTCGATTCGATACAGAATCAAATTGTGAACGAAGTGCAGCTGTTCCGAGGGACGGAAAATGTTCTGAAGAGCTGCGTGCTCTCTTTCATCACATGGACCAACCCGTCATGGACCCAATGTCCAGCCAACTTTATTGTCTACGAAACGTTTTCCGGCAGTTTGAATGCGTTCGATTCGATACAGAATCAAATTGTGAACGAAGTGCAGCTGTTCCGATGCACCGGAAAACGTTCTGAAGAGCGGCGTGCTCTCTTTCATCACGTGGACCAACCGGTCATGGACCCCATATCCGGCCTATTTTTTTTCGACGAAACGTTTTCCGGCGGTTTCAATCTGTTCCATTCGATGCAGAATCGAATTGTGAACGAAATGCAGCTGTTCCCAGGGACCGGAAAACGTTCTGAAGAGCGGCGTGCTCTCTTTCATCACATGCACGAATCCGTCATGGACCCAACATCCGGCCTATGTTTTTCGACGAAACGTTTTCCGGTGGTTCGAATCTGTTCCATTCGATACAGAATCGAATTGTGAACGAAATGCAGCTGTTCCGAAGGACTGGAAAACGTTCTGAAGAGCGGCGTGCTCTCTTTCGTCACATGGACCAACCGGTCATGCACCCAATATCCGGCCAACTTTATTGTCCACGAAACGTTTTCCGGCAGTTTGAACGCGTCCG